ATAAGGGAATAGATTTTGTGTAATCGGAAATTGTACAAATCCTATCCTTTTTTCCCTTTAAAATCTGTACCGTGCCTTATTCACCCTCACCACCAATCAGATTTTTTCCTTACTTCCCTCACCCAATCAGACATCTCTCATCTCTACCCAATCAAAAATTGTCTTCTCTCTCTCATCTTCTTCTTCTCTTTCCCTTAGTCGTGACTCTCTTCCTTCTGCAACACACACACCAACGTCAAACCTCACAAATCAACCTTTAAACCACCATAGTGTTCCTCTCATCCCCACGAACACATCTGTACGAACCGATCACGAAATAGACGAGTTTTGAGTCCAACTTAAAGCAACTCAGAGCTCCCACTCAGGTGGAGTTTTCCCCAACATTTTTCCATTCAAGTTACAAGATTTTGAGATTTTTGGAAGCATCTAGGCAACTTCCTGAGGCCATTAACCTAGTTTTGAAGTGGAGCCGACAAGGAAACCCACGGTTTGAGAAGTCGAGTTTAGGTCCGAGGCTATTGAGTTTATTTTGATCCATTTCTGTCCAACTTTTGGACTTTTAAGAGGTATAATCTTATTCTCCTCTTCCCCAGCTTCATTTTTATATAAAGTTTGTCAAAAATGGTTGAGAAATGAAGAAGATATGAAGTTTTGAAAATTTTCTAGAAAACCACAACTTTTCCCACTTTCCGACGAACCAGATGGCGACGGAGGTCCACCGGAGAAGAAGATTGAATATTCCATTAAAGTTAACGGAATATTTTGACGTTGTTAAAGGTAACTTACACCATTAGTATTTAACAGAATATTCCTCGGTCATTCGTCAGTTTTGTTCGGCGTGAGCTCATGGCCATCGCGTGAGGGCGCATCCGGCCACCGGCCGACATGTGCTTGACGTGTATGGGTCCGTGACGTCGTGTATAATGTTTTCGTATATTTAAACCCTCTGTTTGAGCAAACTATAAGGGATTTTCCTAGCCTTTTAGTATATGTCGTATTTAATTAATTAGTTTAGTTATTTCGCATATAGGTGAGGGGAAGGAGAAATGAGAAGAATGAGGGGAAGGAAAAACGAAAAGAATGAGGGGAATGAGGGGAAGGAGGGGAACCGCACTGGTTCCCACTTGACCCATGACCCCGTTGTGACCCATGAGTTTCTCCAACAAAATTCATCGTTTTTCCTATGAATTGGGCCGATCTACCACTCCCAATCATCATCTCGACCCCTTTCTCTACCATTTCCACACCAAATTTAAAGAGATTGGGTTCGGGATTATGGAGAAATGCACCGGTGGGTACGACGGGCTTCGGGGCGGTGATCCATCAAATCCAAAGGTAACTCCGTCAACCACCACCACCAAAAGGCTTCCCTCAACCTCAGGAACAAAGCCTAAGCAGGTTTGGGGGCGGTGGATCACTGGAAGTGACGAATCGAAGCATACCATGGCGGGTTCGAGGGAAATTGAAGCTTTTCTCGGCCAAATTGGGCTTAGTCACAGGTATGAAACTTGCTCCACTCATCAAGATCTACATTTTTGTGAAATTTGGTAATTTTTAGAAATAGTTGAATTTTCTGGCGAGTCAGGGCAATTGGGCGGTTGTCCGCCGCGTGCGGCGGCACGTGGGCCAAGACTTCACCTGACCATCCTAGGCTCATTTTAATGCCCTAATTCCATATTTGACATCTATTTAGTGGAATTTCGATGTTTTAGTATAGTTTTGTAGTTGACCACCTAGTTGGCCGCTATGGGGTTATTATATGTATTGACAATCCGACTATTGGATCAGCACCAAACTTAAATACATAATAGTGCATAATATTTGAGGATCGAGGAATTGACAGATCGGAAATCCGACATACAGATCTTCTCGAATTGGATTTTTAAGTTTGTAAAACTAATTGTTGATCGCCACTTGAATTTAAGATTGGAGAAGATTCGACCATCGAATCGTGATAGGATTTTAGTATGTTGTTCTATGAGCATAATGTGGACCTTAGGAAGCTACGTGTCCAAAATACGATGTGTGGATCTTCGGATTAAATTGCTAAGGTGTGGACCCCACCAGTTGACTAAGAGTTGACTTTTGGTTAATATGTCTTGAACCATTTGAATGACTGAGAGTTGACTTTTGGTCAACCTGTCTTGAACCATTTGAATTACTAAAATTAGTATTACTAAAGACTCAGTGAGGCTTTGCGGACTCGTCTCGGTGAGTGACTTTAATATATGTGATATGGTTATTACCCTGTTTTCTTATATTAGTATCCTTTGTGGATATGACTTGGTTTTATAAATGTAGTTTTCTATTAAAATGCGATTTTTATAATTGGCCATCAATCTATTTTTATTAAATGTGATTTGATTCACGGATTGGAAATATTTGTGAAAAAAGTGATTTGAAGTGCATATTGAAAAGTTTGTTAAACCTGAGGGCTAGTAGGGGACCGTTACCCTAGTGTCATGGGGTTAGGTGACACTAAGTCTGCACTATGTAGCAGTGGTACATGGATGGTCCTAGTTTGTTAATCCGCAAAGGGGACCATACTATTTATGAATCGCGCTTGGTTAATCCGCAATAGGCAATCCTTATGGTCATATATACTTAGGAGTGATCATGCTTGGTTAATCCAGGATGGGTGATCACTGCCTATAACCCTACTTGGTTAATCCACAACGGGAGGGGTCACTAATGGTCCTGCTTGGTTAATTTGCGATAGGGGACCATGGTTCTGCTTGGTTAATCTGCAATAGGGGATCATACTATTTATGGATTGTGCTTGGTTAATCTGCGATTAGGGGTCACTACCTACATGGTTTCTCAAAGGTGTCTCTGCTTGGTTAATCCGCTATAGGGGGACCACTTCATGTTTGGTTACTTATGTAGGCTTTGGCCGAACTACAGTCCTTCTAACCCTAGTTATTAACGTATTTATGAATGACGGTTTTTGAGAATCTTTGTGGTTTGAATTAGAAAAGCCGTTGGATGTCTCGGTGACTTCTTCAGAGTTTTTAGTGACTTGATTATGATTTCATAAATATAAACTTATATTTGAGATTTATAAACTGTGATCGATGGCCTTTCTTTTTATTGAATATCACATACTTGTATTATTGTCACTCAGTTGAGCTTCACAACTTATCCAAGTTCTGATTTGCCCAGTGCACCATTCCTATGATGTAGGCACTGATTATACATGCGACAGATCATGGTAGATTGCCAGAAGGCACTTGATATTTGGTTCCGTTGAGTGGTTTGGAATCCTTGCTCTCGCTCATTTCCATAAGGCTAGTCTAGAACTCTAGATTCGAGTGAATGGGAATTACCCACAATAGACGTTGTGAATATAAATTAGATTTACCATGTTATTACTCATAATCCAAGTAGGGAATTATATAGAGTTCCTTAATTAAATTCGTGAAATGATATGTTATCTCATTGATTAATTAACATAGTTAAATGTTAAAATCATGCATCTTTGATTCATGAATTGATTAATTGACAGGATTGTGGAATGACGTTGGATATTAGTTAATTATTATATTATTATTATTATGATTATTATTATTATTATTGACGGGATTGTGGAATGACGTTGGATATTAGTTAATGTTAAATCATGCATCTATTATTATTATTATTATTTTATTATTTTAGTTGATCATTTTGGCTTGAGAATAATATTGTGCTTCGTTGGTTATTTGATATGTTACATGTTGTGCACGTGTCAATTCTGGACGTATGTCAAGATCAGGACGTGACAGTTTGAAAATTAAGAAAGGGTGCATAGACCTGCCTAGGCGTCTGCGTAACCCACCTGGGTACTCGGTAGCCCGTATAGACTTGCCTAAGTGCTCGGTAGCCCGTCTAAACCTGCCTAGGCACCCGTTTAGGTCGCGACTCTCTCTTAGATAGGAAAAAATATAACTTTCATTTTGCATTTTAATTTTTCAATAAATTGTAAGAGGCTTGTTAAATATTTAAATGAACACACATTATATGATCGTTGCCCACATTTTCAACATGTTCTAATACTTTATAATTTATATGTCATTCTATTTTGCAATTTATGTACCCAATAGAATTATGTATTTTAAGTATAAGTAGATATTTATTTCTTATATAATAAACTTAATTAAAATTAAAATAAAAACTGCCTAAGCTCCCGCCTAGGTTAGGCTCATGCGTGTCGTCCGACTAGCTCTTGGCACCTTTTAAAACCTTGATATGGACTAACTTATAAACCTAGGACCTAGCACCAGATATTGACAAAAGAACTGTTGAATTTAGTGGATGATTACACATTCAAGGAGGCAAAATATAAACTGATACAATTTCAAAATGCAATATGAGAAAATTGAAACTTCATGATCAATTTTGAAAATCATCTCAAACTCGAACACAACTGAGCTGTCTCTTAAGTAAATACAAGTTCACAATTTTATAAGCAACATACCAAAGCTACGCTCAGCTCATTTCTTTAAGGAGACTAACATGTATTTTGTTCTAACTCAACTCATTTCAGGTATAAATTGAACTTGAACAATTCAGGTATAAATTGAACTTGAACAAGCCCAAAACAAGCTGAAGTCGAATTGCTCAAGCCGATTTACGACCCTAGTTGGAGCTTAAAACCCATATTGGAACGGTTAATCCAATATTATAGTGGGTTTTTTTTTTTTTTTTTTTTTTTGAAAGTTTTGATTTTTTTTACTAGAAAAAAATGGAGCATTGGGGATTGGGCTTGCTTCTAAGATAAAGAACAAACCAATAATATCGGATAAAAAAAAAGTCCCCTGATTAAGAAAATCTTTTGGAGTAAGAGATTAAATTTATAAATAAAGTTTTGAAAACTAAATTACATAGAAGTTAACGATTGGTTTATTACTGAAGCGTTGATAAACTTTGTCTAACGTGAACTCCAATCTTTTGAATTGGAAAAAGCGTTTTAATCCTTACTTTATGCAGCAGTGCCAACTATTTGTTTGAAATACAAGTACTTGGGCAGCAATAGAGATTCAAACTGATGAAATACAAGCTCTGTTCATTTCTGATGAGAAACCCCTTCCCAACTATTACAAGTATGATGTTGTAAACTCTCACTTATCTAACACGGAAAATCACGATTTTCCCGTTGAACTTACGATGATTCCTTACACGGAACCAAAGCTGGATTTTACCCTGAAAATTCCAAGTCTCTGTCAGACATGGATGGCTGGGATATACATAGCCATAATCGAAATGAGGAGGCGAACCAATCCACCATTTTGATGTGAATTCTCTTCCCCTCTATACACACCTTTTCTTCTCTTTCTTGTTCGCCCAGTTAAAGGACTTATGAAACTGAAGCAGCTACGTATAATATAGCTGCTCATAACAGTCCTAAAAGAATTTCTATCCACTCAAATAACTCAACTTAAGCTCTTCTAACACTTTGATTCCAAGAAAGTAAACCATGAAAAGACAGAAAACTGAATCACTCATGTGCTTTGCCATTCCAGTCCGGTCTGCCTAACGTGAACTCCAAGCTTGGATGTCTGGTATCAAAGTTAGATCCCAGATAGCTCTTCAGGTTGTTTGAATCACATTCCTGTACGACATTCAGACAACCTTTTCCAGATTAATGCATGGCTTAACTGTATGGTAAGTTATAACCAAATAAATGCATTGAATGCAGTGGTGTGCATGTGAAGAGATGCTCCATATATGTATGCATTATACGTACAAGGTGGGAGAAATACTTTCAACGGACGACCACACGAGGCTTTGTGCTTATTTCTCTCATCACAGACTAGATCATATGATGAAAATTAAAAACACATAAGGTCTGTTTTCGATTATAATGTTTTTGTATATAAATAAAATAAAATGAAATAGAGGTGGATGAAGGTGGCGATGTCGGGCTGGATGGAGACCTTAATGACATTGGGGAAGGGGATAGCTTGGGTCTGGTCGGTGGTCATGTTGCCGTCCAGAGACTGGACTGTGACCAAGGGGTGCACAGTGGCGGCCGTGGCCATTTGGGAATGAGAAAATGAAGCGAGAGAAAGAGGGGATACACCACTTTTTGGGCTCAGAAGGGAGCTAGGGCTTTAAGTTGACTTTTAGAGTGCAAACGTGGAATGTAGGAATTGAATTTATACTTTGCTATGGTCTACAAACAAGAAATGGGTTCTTCTCCCACTTTTTTGTGGTTTATAAATATGATTTTCCGAACAGTTTTTGTATGGTCGGTGTGCATAGATGTTTATTTTTATATCATTTTATATACATGTCAGATTGTGATTTGCTAATAAAAGGAATAAAGAGCTTTTTCATTGTAAATGAAAATCAAGACAACTATTAACTTTTATAGGTGCCTCAGGCTATAAATAATGGACTACTATGCATGCTTATGCATGAATGCTCGTACGGTGGATGCTTTCTGTACAGGCGATATTGAATTTAAAATACTATAATCTGTTGATCAAATAAATATGAAAATGGAAAACATTGATTTAGTACCTGAATTTTATGACCAGATATTTTCTGTAATTGGGAGGATACTGCTGGTGTTTGCCCGTCCATGTCATGAGAATTAGTATGTGGAAATGCCTCTCTACTACTCAGATTAATTTCATGGAGGAAAAAAAAAACAATTTTAGCAAGAAATTTAAATCAAATTTCAAGTTATATGTAGAAACACAAACGATCAAAATATAACAAACTGTCCCGTTAAATCATGTGGTGAATTTTATAGAATTTTATGTCGACTTAAACTAAACCTTCCTTAAAGTTGAAGAGAAGGTCACCAGTAAAAAGGGCCACTCATTAGGCTAAGTTCTAGGTTCACTATGCCACGACCAGCCATTTACAGAGTAAACTGACACCGTATTACATGTACCTGCTGGGCTGCTCGTGGTTATCAAAGAATTAGCATAAATATGATTGTCTTGTAACACACTTTTCACAATCATCAGCAGCAGAATAGCACATAGTTCCTTCTTATAAAGTACGTCCCACTATTTCACACTCAGCCTTTGAAAAACAATTCGCTCCAAAGGTTCATGGCTATCCTTTCCATTTTAGCTAGGTCGGATCCTTCAATGACCATTGCTTTCAGTCTTTTATATAGAACCTTGCTTGAATCGTAAATGTTACGAATTCATGTTCAACAACTGAAAACCCTTACCCAAATATCACAACGAGCGAAATCTAAACCGTAAACCAGAATTGGGCTGAACCCACAAGCGATGATCAATTCACAAAAGAAGGAGAACATTGCAAATTGAAGAGGAAATGAATGCATGTCTCCAGAATTCTTAAATAATCTACCTACTCTAAACACAATTCTTAATGGAGAATCCTCAATACACTCAAATCTCACAAGCTTACAAAACTCAACCTCTACCAAATATACGAGACTAAACTACGGATTGACCTATGTATGGGTGCACAGTTAAGTCAAAAACATCACAACTTTAGTATAATAATTAGAACTACAATAGAACTCCAAAAGAGCTTAGTGAACATAGCCGTGATAAATGATCAGACAACCAATAGACACGATTTCCCAAACAAAATGCCTTATTAGGCTTAACTTAGTATCAAGCTAAAACTAGCCACATACAAGCTACCATATGAGTAAAGTACGAGCATATATATATGATCATGCTAGGCCTAAAACTACGGCAGAATGTTGCATACAATTGGGATATCCCTGGGGAAATCCAGGACAAACCCAAAACTAGCTAGACAAAATCGGGCATGATGAGGCACAAGAACAACGTCATGCTTGACATGACACGAGAGATGATCTTACCTCTAGTACTTTAAATGAGTTTCAGGATTTCTTCAATCATTGTACATACCCCACCATTTTTTGGTCATTGATAACTCAAGCACTGAGAAAGTACATCTGTTTGTCACATGTATGGTTTGTTGTTAATTACTAGTTTGTTACAATTAGTTAAACATTAAATCATTAAATCTCTTGATTAATTAGTTAGAGGAGGTTGCTTTAATATCTGGGTATATACTTACACATTGATGTACTCACCACTGCCATGTAATCATTCTTTTCGGACAATCAAATATAGAGCTTTCATTTTCTCTCAAGATTTTCTCAATCTGCTTGCTTTCATTCTTCAAGTCGCCATGGTATCAGAGCCTAGGAAAGATTTATTCTCCTCACTCAAGGCGAGGATTACAGAATGCAACTTAAGTTCCCTATCTAACTTTACAATGGACTCATTTAAATACTCTATAAATTATGTATAAGCCCTTCTCAATTCATCCGACTTATCTTCTAGTTGTTGAACTAGTCAAGTTGATTAGAACATCGGATCATGTTTAGTAGCATCCACAAGTAACTCTCCTATATCTAGCTATAGCTGGTGGGATAGAAGTTACAGTTAGCTCCCTAACCAAAGGGCCATGACTCCAGGCTACGTGCCCTAGTCGATCCACATGCCAAGAGTCGCATTGGAGCAGATTTTTCCGTCATTAGTTGTCATCGCCATTCGCATACTTCCTCTCCACAATTCACATTCCTGCCATGTATTGGATACTGTCCTCAGAATATGGCACCTAGTTAGATAATCCCAACAGCCGTATGAGGCACTGGCCAGACTCAAATTGCTACGGTTGGGTGTATGATAAGTTGGTATGAGTGCACACAGTTAAGGAACACTTCCCTGAAGAGTTGCTCTCAAATTTTCTTAAATTTAATTTGTTTGAAGAAATAAACTAATAAAAGGAAACACAAAAAGAGGACTTTATCTTTTTGTTTTAGTCAAAGAGAAGCTAAATGACATTTGACATGACTGGGTATATGTCAAGGGTGGAGTACAATTTATAAAATAACATATAGTTATTCGAACTTTGGAAAAAAGGGGGGAGCAAGAGCAAGAGGGAATGACATTTTTGGTCATATATTGCGACGTCCTCGTGGAGAGAATAAGAACCAGATTATAATATCGGTAACATAAGGAATACCAAAAAACAGTACCAAGTTTTATTTAATAATTCTCAAGAAAAAAGAAAAAGTGTTACTATTTGCTTTCTTATCTCAGCTAACGATTCTGATTGTGTTTGCTACTTTTTCTTTAAAACCCATTAATGCTTATGCCACAAATCTCATCATTTGCGCAGGAATTATTTTTAAAAAGGAAAGAATATTGATCTAAAATTGTTTCTTTAGTTTATTTGTAATTTTGTATAATGGAATTTATTGTTTAATTCTTACCTTGAGCATTATTAGTGCGATTCTTAGCTATTTTAATAAGATTTCTTAATTAACCAAAAAAAATCTTGCAGAAGAGAAAAGACGAAGAAAGAGGAAAATAACCAGCAGAAAATAAAGCAAAAGCTGCTTGGCCACAGCCCACAAGGAACCCTGTTATTTTGTTAAAAGATGGTGGACGTGATTTTACATTAAGCTACATAAGGTACCATGCAAAAGCCAAAAAAGGAAGCAGTACTAGTACGCTTATAATTTAAGTTCCCCCAGAAAAACTATCATGCACTATTTAAAAGTTCAGGCATATATATATATATATAACATTAGAGAGAGAGAAAGAGAGAGTGATGAGGACCCTACCTTGAAGAGTTACTCCAAAGAGTGGTACTGGAAGTGTAGTCCGCCTCTGGTTGCACAGACCGATCGGACGGTCCTCTTTGCTCTGGAAATTGCTGAGTATTGCGTAGGGCATGCTGATCCGTTGCGCTGCAAATCGGAGAGAGGATGTCGTCCTCGCCAGATCCATCCGATTGCCCTTAATTTCAAAGGAAAACAAATCGAAGTTAATTAAGGTCCATCCATATAAGAATTATTTCTAAGCTACATATGTACAATGTAAATTTGTATTATTTGTATATGGGGTACATTAGTATTATGTGTATCATGATTCATGACATGGTAATGATGTATGCATGGAATGCAAGCATGGGATGCATGAATGCATATATGTATTAGCTAGCTAGGTGTTACGGTCAAATGTTGCCTACAAATACATGCAGCAAGCTCTGCTAGGTCGATCTATGATAGGGGTTAAAGTACAATTAAAAGGACAACAAATACCAACAGGGAAGGAAAGCAAAAAAATTTCCAAATGTGTGCGGTAAAAAATTAATGTCAAGTGAAGGGTAATAAGTACGAAAAAGTTAAGGCTGCTAAAGGAGCAAAAATCAGAAAAAGAGGTAAACGATTAGCAATACGAATTACCTGAAGAAGCTGCAGGCTTGTCAGTGGTCTTAACAGTTCGATACATCTGCAAAGTCATTGGCCATTTAATTAATTAATATTAAAATAAGGAAAATGTTAGGGGTATCATCTTATACCATATTTTGTAAACCAAATAATGTAGTAGTTGAAGGTTTGACTCATTTTGTTAATGATCTTAAGAGGGAATTCAACCGTCAATCGGTACATCATGTGGTTTAAATAATATAATCTGAAAAATTGTTCTCAATCAGCACTCATAATATAAATTCAAAAGTCTAAATAAACACATACACATAAAAATGATAAAACTATTCTCTTTCCATTAATTAACTAATTAATTAATACAATTCGGATCTCTTAATTTGTAGCTAGGTTCCTCTCTCCGCGGGCTTCTGGGACTGTCTTGGTTTTCATGTATAAATTAATAACGAAGGAAGGACGGAACATTAATCACTAGGTTCATGTTGGATAAGGAAGTAATTATGAACAATCTTCATTATTGGGAAATGATGACACTTTTGTCTGTTTTATATCATCCATTTTTTAAAGTTTTTCTCTGAAATTAAGTACAGAGAGAGAGAGAGAGAGAGGTCAGTGTGTAGTAGTTCAGAAGTTTCAGACAGACTCAAAACAAATAATATAGCTTACTACTCTTTTCATTCACAGCTCCCCGTTGGTAACTGTGCCTCGTGTAATAGAGAGAAACACTGCCCCACATGATTGACTGTGAGAGAGAGAGAGAGAGAGTAGCTTGCTACCTGTAAATGGCTCTTGACATGAGCTAGAGTGAGATCCTTGACATCCATGAGCTCAAGAACTGACTTCGGAGTAGCTCCTAAAAATCATAACAAAAAATTACGCGAAATAAAAGGAAATTAAGAACAAGAAATGAAGGAATTATGAGGAGAATTTTCTTTTCCAAATATATCTTAAGAGGTGAAGAAAAAAAGAGAGGAGGTTTTGAATTATTGATTACTTTCATGGCCACCAAGAAACTCAACAGCATGAACGAATCTGGCATGGAGAGTACTTGTCCATCGCATCCTCGGAGCTCTCATACTCCGCTTTGTCGGCAGCTTTGGCAAAAACCTCGATCTCATGATACCGTGATGAGATCCCTCAGACATTGGTCCAACCCCTCCACTACCATACTGATTGTGATGATGAAGTTGATGAAGATGATGGTGGTGGTGCAGTTGACTGTTAGATTTAAACACATCCACGGGTGAGAACCTGGTAAATCTCGACATGGGATCAAAACCGCCGGCTCCTCCTCCTCCGAAATAAGGCGCAGACGGCATATTAGGGGAGCATGAGGCAGCTGAAGGAAAAGAAGGATGGTTATAGGAAGAAGGTGGAGGAGGTTTTGGGTAGAAGCACATCCTTGAATCCTTGTGATGATCTCTTGTGATCATATTGTCCATAGGCAAGAAGGGGAATGAACGGTTCTGATGATAGACCGGAATCCCTTTAATCGGCCTTAAACCCTCTGATGACGAGACATCAAGCAGCGAAACACCGTGATTTAAGTGGCTTAAATGACTGTTGGAACGGTGAAGATGAAAACTTTGTTGTTGATAAGGGTTTTGTGGTGGTTCTTGCTCGTGAGCTCCGCCGGTGAAGCATCGCCCTAGGGATAGCTCAGTGTGAGCTTGGGAATTACTAGTACTGGGATTTTGGGTTTCACTAATGGTGGTATTGAAAATTGATGATGAATTAGAGGAAGTGTTGGGAGGACTAATGTGAAGAGAAAGATCAGGAATTGGACAAGAACTAGTCGTAGTTGTGGCTGAAGAGGGTTCTATGAAAATCCCTTCCAAGGGCATTTTCTGATTCACTACTTTACCAAACCAAATACTAGCAAGCTACCCCTCTTTTCCTCTCTTTTTTGCTTCCCTGCTGCTACTCAAATCCAACTTGTGAGTGAAGAAAGTTGAGGAAAAGAGTTAAAGAAAAAGGTGGAGGTAATTTCTTTTGAGCTTGAAGATATTTGGGGGAGATTTGGGTTTTTTTTTTTTTTCTTCCAAATAATATTTGGAAAGCTAGCTATCTCAATTAATGAAGAACAAAGAAGAAAGCTTGCTGTTGTGTGAGCGTGCTTTGAAGACCAAATTATTGAGTGCGGGAACAAGTTAAAAGGGATATTGAGCTAAAGCAAACGAAGACAGCAATCTTCTGGAACAAACAGACATGCTCACGAGAGAGAAAGAGAGCGAGAGAGATAAGTCATGGAAAGAAAAAAAAAGAAAGAAAAAAGGAAGAGAGAGAGAAAGCCATAAGTTGTAGGCTTTGGGTTTGGTTATCCTCGAGAGTATATCTTGGAAAATGACACTAGACGGAGAAGAAAAGAAAGAGCACAAGGTCTCTCACTCTCTCTCCTCTCTCCTCTCTCCTCTCTCTCTCTCTGGTCAAAACCCATCAAATGCACCAAAAAATATGGTCACTTCAGATTTCCCTGCTCCGCAGACGACGGGATAAAAAATGTTAGAGAGAGAAAGACACCCTCGTCTCTGATTCCTTTCCCCCCACCCACTGCGCTCCTTGGTCCTCTTCTCTCTCTATCTTTGTAATTTTATATACAATTTTGTTTTTTCTCAGTACAGTACTCAATAGAAATGTATATATAACTAATATAGGGTTTGAATTTTATTGCTTATATTTCTACAGATTGGACGTACATAATATATATAATAGTATAATGACATAAAATTCTGTCTCTGGGTTTTCCAAATTCTCGTGAGATTCTGAAATTGTGTGTGTGATAAGTTAATATTTTAAAAAGATTGAGGCATTGACCTTATGATATCTGAGTGAGCTAGCTAGAGACCCACAAAGGGGTTTTTGTTTGCTTGCATACTGTACGCATCGCAAACCCTAATCCCACGTTAATTATTTTACCTTCTAATTCTTCCCCTATAGCCCTCCCATATATTCCCTTCTAATCTCTCACCAAACTTGTCTGGCACACATGGTTTTTATTATGTCTTTCTCCCACATGACTCTCTCCTGTCCGAGCCCACCATCCTCATCCGTCATTAACTATCTTCACTCTTATGCTTGCAGCTAGCTAGGGTTTTCAAATCCAATGACATCCTTCATCATATCAGTAACGCAATTTTAGATTGGGTAATGTTAGGGAGACTAAATTTGTCGACAAAATTTGTAAACTAAATGATTTGTCACTAATAGGAATAAACACGTTTATCAACACTCAAGTAATAACTTAATCATCAATTTCCAGGTCATTTGGTTTACAAAATTTTATCGACAAATTTAATCTCCCTAACATTAACCATTTGGATTTAATCAAGTTAGTTAAAGTAGTGTATATCTCACCCTCCCCCTCTTCATTGGCATATGCACCTGCATATATAAAAAAGTATAATATTGATAAGTAATTATATGTTTAATTTTTGTGAGTTTTAACGAAAAGCCCACGGTATTGTTTACTTTAACGAAAAACCACATTTTTACACTAAAAAGTCAATCCTGATACTATTCACTTTACCCTTTATTTTGTCCATATCATTAAAACTCAAAGTTTTCAAGCATTTTTCATTAGTTTTCCTTTAATTTTTTTCAGTGGCATGATAGCGTTAGTGGGCTAAATTGTTACTTGTTAGAGAAAAGGGAAATCGTGAGGATCGAATACTGCACCAAAGTACATAAACATAATTACTTTTCGTCATTGCATTAAAGCGTGATTTGCTATTACTTATTTAATTAAATATCTCTTTCTTTGTCATGTTAATCCTTTAATTAACGTATAATTGATGTAGGGTTTCTACTATTTATACCATGTTTTTACATTTCTATACCACCTTAGGTGGCATCTGATGTGGACAGCCACATCATTTGAAAGATTTGCAAAACCCAATGAAAGAAAGGAGAAAGACTCCTCGTATACCACAATCATTATTTAATTAACTAGTTTTTCTTAATTATTAGTTTATTAAATAATAAACTAAATTTAAAAATCTGATTAATTTAAATGATGTGGCTGTCCATATCAAATGCCACCTAAAGTGGTATGAAGATGTGGTACAAAAACATGGTACGAATGTCATTACTCCTACTGAATTTGAATCACTCAACCATAGGTGATGTTTTGGATGGTGCATTAAATGATGAATTGGGTAATGTAAATGTCGTGGTTTTGCTTTCTAGGAGCACAGTTTCTATCACATCCTCCTCCAAAAAGAATTCCACAAAATAATCACTTGTGTTGTTACAGAAGAGAGATGTATTCTATTAAATTTTGTTTGGATAAATGCGGGAGGTAGGTGATATGCATGCATACCTCATTGTCTCCAGACCTTGGGGTTCGTATCAAACAACTACCAGGGCAACATTAGCTGGAATGAGTAATTAAAAAAGAAAAGACAACACCTAGAATGAAAGTAGCATATAGAAAAATAAGGGTTTGTGTTGGTAACGTTTTGCAGAATAGGTTTTCGTTTTACACATCCATTAACGAGTGTAATATGTTTTTAGTAGGTTGTACTTTAAAAGCAAACTCCGGAAATAGAATACGTAGAAAATAATATTTAAGCTAAATTCTATAAAGCATCAGATTAATGTTTCATGCGTTTTCAAGAATAGAATTTAAAAAAAGAAATTATATAACACAAAATCTGCAGATAAAAAACAGAGTTAGAGTTTTAAGAAGGAAAAAAACTCGAGTATGCCACCACAACCTTATCATGACCATTGTCACCACCTCAAGCACTATTGTTGTCATCACTTTCGCTACTGTCATCATTACCACCGCCGCTTAAGATTTTCTCGTACATTAGATATTAATTAAGAGCAAGGCTTCACCATAGCAGCTGCAAACTCAGGTGGAGTAAATTATATTACTTCTTACTCCACACTTGAATCTCAATGACACACTCCGATCCAAAAATTGGAGCGTGCTAGCCGTCACGTGAGGTGACGGCCATTGCACGCTCCAATTTTTGGATGCACGCCCCAATTTTTGGATCGGGGTGTGTCACTCAATGTTTCCAAAATACTTTTAAATTATTAGTTAATGAACACACGATAGTGAATGAATTTATAAATCGCAACCAGGCCGTTATGTAAGTTACAAACCCTAATTCTACTAAAAAGGAACCAAATCCTTATGAGACAAGAAAAGATAGAATTAGAATTCATGGTATGAATTGCAAGAAGTTAAACTCAAGTTATAACAGATGCCAAAAAAAAACCTAAAACACCTTAAAAACTTAAAAGTCAAACCTCTTGAAGCACACTCGAGCCACCAGCAAATAGCGAAAACTAACTTGTTGCCTTTCTCACGCCAAATATTGCTCCTGAATGTATGTTTTTTCATCATTGCATTTCTTTCTTATTTGGTACCAATTATGTCTTCTTTATCTCTCCCCACTTTAATCGACCTCTATCTTGTCATGTATTAGGGTTGTTAATATCTATCAACAGCAAGTGCAAACTACGCATGAAGAAAATACACATGTAAATAAAATGATACGTAATTACGTACAACCTATATATATACACACACACACACATATATACACATTTATTTGCAAAAAAAAAGAATTTGAACCTTCAGAAAAGGGAAAATTAGAATGCCCTACATCTTTTCTATAGTTGTTAGATTAAACATTCATCCTTTTTAAATATTTGATTAAGGTGCTTTGATCAATTGTCAACTTAATAATTTTCTATTTATTTAATTTCCATGTCATTAATTTAAATGCATTTATATAGAGGCATAAGGTAGCTTAGCAACTAATTGCCTATAATATAGGAATTTAATTTCATCAATCCCCTTTTACGCATTAAATGACAATTTTTTTAATAAGATAAAATAAAAAATTAATTAACTAATTCCTCATTACCTTATTATCAATATTTTTTTTTTAAATTCTCTTTCTATTAAAAATGTGTCAATAAAAAGTCTTTAGTACACATTTTTTTCACGTATAGATATATAAAAAATATACTTAAAACTTATGGTACATTTGAGAACAAAAGTATCGACTTGTACGTTTAGATTTCAAATGTACCGAAAAACCAAATGTACCAAAAATTCAAATGTACCATGAAACCAAATGTACCGATTGTTATATAACCCTTTTGGTACATTTAGCTTTCAAATGTATAGAGAAACCAAATGTACCAAAATTTCAAATGTACCATAAAACCAAATGTGCCCATTGTCAGGTAACCCTTTTGGTACGTTTAGATTCCGAATGTACCAAAAGACCAAATGAACAAAAAATAAAAACATACCACAAAACCAAATGTCTCTATCAGATAAACCTTTTGGTACATTTACATTCCAAATGTACCAAGAAATACAAAAAATCAAATCCACTATAAAACTAAATGTGTCCATATTATAGGTAACTAGACGTAGCTATATAATCAAACAAATCTTTATTATGTGTTGGGTCTTCTAAATAATAAAATCTGTCAATTTTTTTTTATAAATATTCTAGTATATTCACATAAAAAAAAAGTAAAATTATAACAAACAATAAATAAATGCATAGAGATGGATAACAAATGCATAAATATAGGGATAAGAGGGAAAGAAAAAAAAAACCAAATGTCCAGGAAAAGTCGTGAAAAACTAAAATTCTAAACAAAATTTAACTTATGTGAAAAACTAAAATTAATAACCAAAATTTTAGGAAAATGTTTGATCAAATTTTCAAAAAAAGTGTATATTTAATCTAAAAAATTAAAAAACGAGGCGCTTATATCAAAACGCTCCTTCAGAAAATGTATCTACAAATTTAACAGAAGAATATATATAATGTACCCATATATATATAATGTACCCATATATCTCTATAACTAATTTTTCTTTGTTATTAAAGACTATTAGAAAATGAACTTATACAATTAATACATAAGGCTTTAGGTTGTCCTTAATTAAGAATGATTGTTCTTGGTAAAACTTTCGAATTCTAAGAAATTCTCCCCATTGATCATCATTAGGTTATTATTATCTGAGCAGAAGATTTTCCCACACGTATCACATTTATTGGCGGCCAGTTTGATAAGAATGTATGGTAGAGAATATGGAATGGCCTGTGTACCATTATACTCGTTGTTTGGTACAGCTCCTCCTATATCATACAAATGATGCTCATTCCCCATTTAATCTGAGCCGTTTGATTACCTTGGGTCCCACAATCAAACTTTGTTGAAACTAAAAACAAATAAAGTGAAAAAAAAAGTCTGTCTATCATGCTACGTTTCACTTAAGGTAGTGTTATTCACATGTTTTTTTTTATCTCTCATACACTGTTATTAATTTTTGTTCATTGATTTTTTTCAATTTATTCGATCTGATAGTCAAAAATTGAAATAAGTGTAAGAAATAAAAATAAGTGTGTGAATAATACCACAATTTACTTAACTCAATGATATATATGACTTTTATGTAATATTTAACTGTTGCACGATCTAACAGATCCTTACATGTAAGATTCAAACTGTTTTTCATACTATTAACGATACGTACAAAGTAAAGAAAAT